AGCCTTTCTCATATCTGTTTTCGCTGTTTACCCAAAAGAAGGCAAAAAACACAGTTTGAACTAAGTGCTTCCAATTTTGCAACAAAGTACAATAATAGTCTTTCCTGACCCCACAATGACAAAATCTTCATGGATCAGGAAGCTGTTACCCCACATATTAAAAATTACATCCCTGAAGATTTTGTATTTGGAAGTATTAATCCAGTTGCTGTTTAAACATCTGTACAGACTCTGATAAACCTTCAGACAGAAATTTCCACATCCTTATTGTTCTTACTGTATAAAACATTGTCCTTTACCTTAGCCTAACTCTCCTTTCTTCCAGTCCTAATATGTGATCTTGTGTCCTCTGCATAGTACTATTTATTAACAGATTTCTGGACAATGGTCTGTTTTTGGCCCTGAATATATTTGTGTAATGCCATCATATTCCCTCTGAGGCTACCTTTTTCTAAGCTAAACTGATTTACATTTCTTAACCTTTGATCATAGCTAAGAGGTTCCTTTCCTTTTATTAAAATTATAGCCAGCCTCTGCACATTTTCTGGTGTCATAGTATCCTTCTTTAGAACAGGTGCCCAAAGTTGACACACAATAAAAATGTACACCTTAGGCACAGGAACATAGAATATAAATACCTATCCCTGTGTAGCAAATGAACAGGAAACCTAAAATATAAAAGATAACACATAGTGCTTTCTGTATATACAGATAAAAGAACAAAGTAAAATGGTGGAATATAACTCACAAAGGCTCTATATAATGTGCTCCAGGGTGCCTATACAGGCTTCCTCTGTGATGGAAATACTGAAGATGGAGGCTCCAGGTAAATGTAGAAAAACTATATTATAAACAATATAACTCTGGGTTAATAAACATATCGGGACAAAAAGCAGCGAGTAAATAACAAATGTAAGTCACCGCAGAAAGAAATAATAAAAGTACCAAGAAAAAGTCAGCAGACGTGTTTCGATGACTCCTGGAGTCTTCCTCAATGCCCCAAGAAAAAGTCATCAGACGCGTTTTGACTCCTCCTGGAGTCTTCTTCAATTTCCAAAGTTGCACTGTATGTTCATGGTGTGGACTTAGTTTCCAAGGGTCCTGCTTTTGCCAACCCTGATTAATAACCATTGTCCTCCTGGGGCTGTTTATGTGCCTTTGCACTGATTATGTGGAAATTACACTTCATGCACAGCACTTTCAGCAATCCAGTATGAACATAGTATTTAATAATAAAGAGGACACCTGATAGGATTATTTGCTAAAGTGAGAATTAAAAGTGAATTTTAAATGGAACTGGAACAAGAATGTGCTATAAGGGTAGCTTACTCTGAATGTTTCCAGCTATTTTCAGCTGAAATTCACTTTGAATTCTTTCTTTAGCGAATAACCCTGAGTGTGTGGTGGTGGTGTATGTTCGGATATGTGTGTACACGTTAGTTCATATTTGTGAATTTCTGTGCTTTAACATGGGTCTGAGCATGTGCGTGTTTAGGAGAGCAAATGTGTGTGCCAGAAAGGACCACAAAAGGATTTTGTAAGGGGCCCCGCTTCCTTATTGCCCACAAAATATAATCCCAAACCCAACATACAAACAGTGGAGTATTGTTGATCCCATATCAATGTTTGCCTTAAAATAATATGGTTAAGGCAATATTTCATAATTTCCTTAACTATAAATTTACATGGACCAGTAACAAAATGTGATTTCCTTTTTTAATTATGAATATTCAGTGACATATTTAAAGGAACACTATAGTGACAAGAATACAAACAATGTATCCCTCTGACTAGAGCTGTAATAACACTATTTAGGTTCCTGTCCCCCTGTAACTAATGTAAAAGACCTTTTATTCCTGTGTGTCTGTCCCACCTGCCTCCATGACTGAGATTATCAAACTTGATGATCTCGGCCAATCTAATGCTTTCCTATAGAAAGCGTTGTGAGGCTACTGCGCATGCACGTAAAACATCACAATGCTCAGATCAGCATCTCATCTCTGCGGGAATCGTTCAGCGCCTCCATCCAGAGCGTGGCCCTTGTTAGTACCGCTAGTGGCTGAGGTGTCCCTAGGCAGTAATGTAAAATATTACCTTATAAAGCCTGCAGAGACTGACTATACTAACCACACACAGCTATATGAAGCTGTAATTGTTGTGGTCACTATAGTGTCCCTTTAATTGTGACTATATATATATATATATATATAGAGAGAGAGAGAGAGCTGTATTGCACTCCATGTGAGCCTGGCAGGGCTGGCAGCCGGCTGCCAGGCAGTGAGGGCGGACACTGGGCAGCGCGCTGCTCACGCCAGTTTAATACGCTTCATGCAAACGGTCGCGCGAGGCCACGCCCACCGCCACGCCCTCCTTTTCTTTCTTTTTTGTCGCCGTCGAGCAGTCCCGCCAGCCAATCGCAGCGCTGCTCGGCCAGCTCGCCCAGTAAGCGAGGCCGTGGTAATAAGGTTTGCGACGCACGGGCACGTACAGCTCCCAAGATGGCGGCGACCGGTGAGAGCGGTGGGGTAACCGGAATCAAGCGGGAGCATCTCGGCATTCCCGAAGCGGTGTTTGTGGTAAGATGTACGCTGCGTGCGTGCTCTCCCCCCGAGCTGCCGGGGGGTCCGTGCAGGGGGTCCCCGAGAGAGGCCCAGCATGGCTCAGCGTGGAGCATGGCTGTCATCATGGTAACTGAGGCGGTGCCATGCCTCTCAGGGAAGATCGTGGCCGCCTCAGCCACACTGCCTCTCACACAGCAAACCGGCTGATACCAGACAGCATTATTTAAAATAATTACACAGTGTGTGTGTGTGTGTGTGTGTGTGTGTGTGTGTGTGTGTGTGTGTGTTTTCTGCTGTAGGGATATATGTCCCATCTGTGCATTGTTAAAATAGCTGACAGGCAGCCCCAATGGTATGTGCAGGCCTTTACTATTTATAAATATCAAGCCCCACATTATGTCACAGTGCAGCACAATGGTTGGGCAAGATTTATGTAAGTATTTAAAAAAAAAAAGTGTAATTTACATGTTTAGGAGGTGGTAATGGCCCAGGCCTTGTTCTGCTTGTGATGGATACGTGTTTAGAACCTATGGCTTTAGAATAGCTGCATGTTAATAATGGTAAAATCTTTAGAGAGATACTATAGTGTTAGGAATACAAAATCTTATTCCAAGCACATTAGCTCCTCCCCTGCTTAGTAAGAGTTCAAATACCCTTACTGTACTTACCCAATTCCAGTGTAACTCTGCCCTCTCCATCATCCGATGTGGGCGCTAATGCGCAGATGCATCCGGCGCATTAGTTCCACCCAATAGAAAAACATTGCTGTAATGCTTTTCTATGAAGAATTGACTGCTTCTGGATGTCCTCATGTAGCGCATGTGAACGTCCAGCGTCAGGCAACCAAAAGTTTCCTCACCACCTGGAAGTGCTACTGGAGGCATTCTTAATCATGCAAGGTAGTTAATGCAGTTCCTCAGATAGTGCAGTAATTACCATTGCAAGCTTAAGAGGACAGGAACATTGCGCCCAGACCACTTCGATGAGCTGAAGTGGTCTCGGTGTCTATAAAGTCCCTTTAAAAACGATAGGCACACAGAACACTTCATCTTAGCGAAGTGGTCAGGGTGCAGTGAGCTGTTAATTTTAACCCTACAAGCTAATACATTATCGTTGCAGTAGATACTGCGATGTTTGCAGTGTTAAACCACATCTATTGTCTGTCTTCCTGGCATCCTCTGAAGGTGCTTCAGCTGAAAAACCAACTGATTCCATTTTGCTATGCGGGCACACTAGCCACACCATGCATGCCAGTAGGGAAGTATTGGGTTGCTGAGATCATCAATCCTGACAATTTAACAGGTGTGGCAGTGAGGGAGTAAAGTTGGCAAAAACTATCTTTTAAACACGTAGGGGTTAACACTGTAGTATTCCTCTAATATAGCATCTGAGTGAGATTCATACCACTGTATTTAACTTTTTACATTTAGTTTGTACATTAGCTGAAGACGTACAGAATTGAAATGTACCAGTAAAGCAACCTCTGCTTTCACATCTTCAATCTGAACTAATCTGTGACATTTCCACTTTGTCTTCTACTTGTATAGTAAAAATAAATTTAAAATGGAGTAATTTCATTAAAAGTTCTCCTCTGCATTAATTTGAAATTTCCACATTTATCACCAGCTCATGCCAACATGACTACATTATGATGTAAATAAGCAGGATTCTGACAGATTAAATATAATGATGCCAGTATATGCAATCAGTGCTCAATGTTTCCACGGGCGAGTAGAGTACTTCTGTAATATTTATCTCTGGTCCACTCGTGCTGCTCCTGTGGTCTTCACTTATTTGCCCTGCAAACCTTCTCCATGACAATGACCTGTTGGGGGTTCCCCATTCCTTTACGCCCCAGCCAGCGCTCGCAACACTGGCTGGGACGTTACCTCTTGTTCTCCACCTGTAGCAACCACAGCACAAGCATGACACCACCATGCTTGTGCTGTGGTTGCTACGGGTGGAGAACACAAGCACTGCCTGTGGGAAGTCTCTTCTGCTCTACCTGTCAAATCTTCGGCATGTACCGAAGAGCTGATTGACAGGTGGGAGAAAGATATAGTTTTAAAATAGGTGTTTCTCCCGATTGTTACATTTGCTAGCACAATTTGCACGTTGTATAGATGAAATGTCATGCTCTTTCCAAAGTGCATGAGGAGTGTGGGGGGGGGTCCTCTCTAAGGCCTGGCTAGTAGCATATATACTTAAAATTTATAAGCCCTAGTTCAATATTTTCAGGATTCAATGTGCTTTTATTTAGAGTTAGCAGTATAAGGTACATAAGTGACCCCTAAATTTTCAGTAATGACCACAAAAGAATGATGCAAGCTTTTATATTTTCTCTTTATAAAATATTAATTTTGTATTAATTCTTTATGGTTCCTTTAAATATATGTTTGGGCTGTGCACACTCTTTGCCTAAACCAAGGAAACTGCCTTAACCCCTTAAGGACCAAACGGCTGGAATAAAGGGGAATTACCAGATTTTACTAATTACATGACGTAAAGTCATGATTTTATAAAGGACACGGAGGCGAATATTATGCTTATCTCCTTCTTTATTATACCTCAGCAGCAAAGAGAAGGTATAAGACATTCATAGAAAAGGAGCCACGCTAATAACCTGAGTTGTCCCTGCATCATCAGTGGGTGTGGGTTCCCTTTGGGATCCGACAGACGCGGGTTCTCGGGAAGCAGTCTGGGAAGGTCTATAGACTTCTCCGTGAGTGAAGGGAACCAAGGCTGTGTTGTCCAGAATGGCATTATGAGGACCAGAGATGTCTGTGAGTGGTCGAGATGTACCAAGGTCCGTGCCAGCAGAGCGAACGGAGGGAATGCGTACAGTCTTCTGCTCGGCCATGGTTGGAAGAATGCATCCGTAGCTAGTGCCTCTGGATCTGGTCTCCAGCTGAAGAATTCCGGAAGTTGTGTATTCAATCGAGACGCAAACAGGTCCATGTACATCGGGCCCCACAGCGTTTGTAGTCGTAGGAACGCTCCGCGGTCCAGGCTCCAATCGCTGGCATCCCGCAGGTGTCTGGAGTTCCAATCCGCTATGATATTCGAGAGTCCCGGGATGTATTCTGCTCGTACTGATATGTTGCGGTCCAAGCAAAATTGGCAGAATTCTGTGGCTAAATCTGCTAAAATTTTGGACCTGGTGCCGCCGAGGCGGTTGATGTATTGCACTGCTGATATGTTGTCCATCCTCAAGATGATGGAGCAATGTGTCGTGGGACCGAAGAGGCTCTTCAGCGCGAATGATCCCGCTATAAGTTCCAGGCTGTTGATATGCAGTGCTCTTTCTGATTGGGACCATCTTCCGCCTGTGGAGATATGACCACAACGTGCTCCAAAACCCTGTGTGCTGGCATCGGATTCTATTATGCAATCTGGGGCGGAGCCGAAGATCGCTCTGCCATTCCACGCTTCCATGTGTTGCAGCCACCACTTCAGTTCCTCCTTGGCTGTGTGATCGAGTTGCACGGAGTCTGAGTAGGGGTGACCTGATTGTAGCTGAGCGGCTTTTAGTCTCTGTAGGGCACTGTAATGCAGAGGTCCCGGGAAGATCGCTTGTATGGATGCCGAGAGGAGTCTAATTATTCTGGCTAGTTGTCTCACAGTGAGCGTTGGGCGAGCCAACGTTCTACGAATCTCCTTTTTGATGGTTTTGATCTTCGTGAGCGGTAAGTTTAGGGTCCCATGGACTGCCTCTATATTTAATCCTAGGAACTCTATGGACTGGGAGGGGATTAGCACCGACTTCTCCCAGTTGATTAGGAATCCTAGGTTACGTAGAAACGCTATTGCCCAGGTTAGGTGTTGTTGAAATAAGAGTGCATCCTGTGCCATGATCAGTATATCGTCCAAATATATGATCATGCGCCCACCACCAGTTTCAACAGTTTCGTAAAGCACCATGGTGCTGATGATAGTGCCGAATGGCAGGCACTGGAACCTCCACGTCTGTGCGTTACATTGAAATGGGAGGAGGTGGTGACATTCCTTCATGATGGGGATGGCGAGATTGGCATCTTGCAGGTCTAGTTTGACCATCCAATCCCCCAACCTGAGAAGGTCTCGCAGGCAATGAATCACTTCCATTTTGAAGTGGTGATATCGTACATATGCATTGAGTGGGCGTAGGTTGATCACCGGCCTTTTGCCTGAGGTCCAGGCTCGGATATGGCCATATTGACCAGTTTTGGGTCAATCTTCATGAGGATCGCTTTGCGTCTCTCTGTACTTAGCGCAGCGTTGGAGTTGCCGATAAGGCAAATAGAACGCTGCGCCCACTCTCGGATAGCCAAGAGGTCTACTGGTGTGCCACCTGAGAGTGCAGCTTCGACCATGTCAAAATTTTTTGCGCTGGGGCCCAAGGAGTCAAGCACCTTATCCTGGGAGTGGCGCAGGGAGTAATCCAGCCCTTTCTTGGCTTTCCAGCCAGCTTTCCCCAGGAACTGGGCAATTTTTGGGTCTAGTTCCGGTGTGGCACAAGCCATATCGGGGACCGTTGGACGTGGGCATTCTGCCCTAAGTTTATTCCTGGTGGCTTTATCCAGGGGTTTTCTAATCCTGGCCGCTATATATTGGGCCACATGGTCAGCTGGGAACCATTCCGTAGACCTAGGGTGTTGTAGGTCATCCGGATTAAATAGGGGCTCCCCCTGCGGGTCTAAAATGACGGAATCATCCGTGGCCACCTTGCCCATGTTGGCTGGTTTGACTGCTAAGCTGCGCTCCGGAGAAGAGTTCTCCAATTCAAAAGAGCCGATTTCCTTGGACTCGCTCAATACTTCCTCAGGGTCCGAATCAGTCGGATATCTCTGTTAGGGCTTTTGCCCATTTCCATGCCCTCACCGTTTTTGCCCGGCGGGTGGCTCGTTTACGTGGGGGCCGCACGTCCTCATTAGTGACAGGACGGAACCTGTCCGTCATGCTTGTTTTGGAGGTTTGCTTGCCCACATGGTGAGTCTTTTCTGTAGCCTTGCGCTCGCTGAGGGATGCAGGCTTGTCATCTTGGGGTGGAGGCCGCTAGGGTTGTGGCTAGACGCCAAGATGCTGATTGGGTCAGGTTATCTGACATCGCCCACATCGCCGTGTAGATGGCTTGGGTGACCGATTTGGTCATTGTCGCATCTAGGAGTGAATGGAACTCCTCCGAGTTCAGTTGCTCCATAGATGCCACATCCTCTCTGGGGGGAGATTGGGCGCGGAGCAGGGGACACGCGGTGTGTGGTGTCCTTACTGGCAGCAGTAGGAGTGGAAACCTCCTGGTCCTTGGGGTGCTGCATTCTAGACAAAGAATCTGAAGCAAGCTTGGGACACTAAACTTACTATCAATGGGAGCAAGGGCACTCTGAATGTAACAGAATATATATGTGTGTAAGATGTGCTATGATAGCACACAGCAATACTGTCACTTTAAATTCTATGTGGGAAAGTATTACAATCCTCTGCAAGCGAAAGTTAACAATGATCTCTCTGGCCGGTTAAGTGTGACAGGGCAAGGCACAAACAAATGCTGTCAGCTTACCGAGTGTTCCCTCCGGAATGGCCGCAAGGGAACACTGGCAAGCTGCCAGCCACAGTCAGTAACCAATCAGAGCGCCCCCGCCCCTGGGGGCGCCGGGAAAAACGTGGCAAAATCCCTGTCAGAGCCGGCGGTTGCAATGGCCGCTGTATGGCCGCCAATGTGCCTGCGCACGCGGCACCCGGCTGTAAAATGCTCGCACTGGGCAAACAGCCGCCGCGGAGCATAGCAGGGGAAAGGACCGGGTTGCCTGGAGGTGCACGGGTAATAAACTACCCGGAGAGGTGAGGGAGGGAGGGGGTTTACCGCTGGGGAGGACGGGAAACCATAGGGAGGGATAGTCATATAGTCATATGAACCTTCGTTATACCAATAATTAATTGTACAGAGAAGGTCTATACACAGAAGTATACATGAAGAGAATTACATAAAGGAATATACAAACTCCTATGAACCTTATTTCTACCCACAATAAAGTATACAGACAAGAGATATATACAGAAGTATACATGAAGAAAAATACATAAAGGAATATACCAAATCTAGCAAATCCAAACAGAAATTTCTCTGGAGTAGAGAGATCTAAAATAGGGTAATACTTAGCTGAAGCAGCAGCAAAGAAAGAGGGAGAGGAGAGGTCACATGGGTGGTTATGGATATGTGGACTGTTCCCATTGGTTATGGGTAGAATGTTGTGTTAACCCTTTGAGAATTTGTTCTAGTTTTTTTTTTTTTTTTCTATGAATGTCTTATACCTTCTCTTTGCTGCTGAGGTATAATAAAGGAGATAAGCATAATATGAGCCTCCGTGTCTTTTAATAAAATCATGACATGTCACACGTCATGTGTCCTTAAGGGGTTAAAGGAACACTTTAGTGTTTAGAATGTAAAGATCTATTAAACTGTTGAAGTTAACTGATTTTGATTTCTGCACCTTCTTATATGCAGGAAGATGTGGAGGCTTTTATGAAGAAACCTGGAAATGAGACAGCAGATGCAGTCCTCAAGAAATTGGATGAGCAGTATCAGAAATATAAGTTTATGGAAGTAAATCTTTCTCAGAGAAAAAGAAGGTATTTCATGTTTCCATTTGATTATTTTTTTAAATGAAAATAATCTTTTCCCATGATGTAATAACATCTGTTTGTTCTGTATTTTGATTATTCTGATGTCTTTCTTATTTATTGTGCCTCAACAACGTTGGCTTACTGAAGCAGTAGAAATTATGTCTCTGACATCTCACTGCTCAAGTTACTTTTGTTTTTATCCATGCGACCCCTGGTTGTGATTGACACCCCCTGAATGAAAAAAATGTTTTTGTTTTACAAGTGTTTATCTGCTCTGTAAATTAAACTTTAACCACACACTGCAGGTCTAGAAGGCTATTAACAGGAGATTAGAAATTCAAAATCAAACATTTGTTATAAAGGAAGTTTAAACATTAGATCTTTTTAAAGGATGTGTTTAGGGAAGCTGTGCACATTACATACAGGGAGGTGTACATAAACAAAGTGGTTGAACTTTGGCAAATGGCAAATAATTGAGCAGTGAGACTGTAGGGCAAGCATGTTAAACTCAAAGTCTGAATCGGGCCACATAAACAAGGTTTGTTTATGTGGGGCGCAAAAAAAATACCGTACATTTTCATAGAAACTTAGGTTTGTTTTTAAAAGAACAGTATAAACCCCCTCCACCCGCCCCCACAGCATCCCCCTCTGCTAATCTACAGCGCCCCCTCTACCAAATCCCAGCCCACCCTCTACTACTGACGTCTACCACCCTGTGACAAATCTGATCCTCCCGTGCACGCACACCACACACACACACACATTCACTGACAGACATACACATACAGACACACTGAGACACACACATGCTCGCAGACAGGCACATTATTTTCTTTATTGCTCCTTACCTTATGGAGCCGATGTGGGGCATCTCCCTGGGGTCCTTCCTGCTCCCTCGCGCGGTTTAGTGGTGCCGGAATATGACGTCATATTCTGGCGCCGGGTTCGCTTCAGACGGTGCGTGCGAGGGAGCAGTGAGGAGCAGCAACACTGAGCTCCATCGCTGGCCGCGTGTTAGCAGAGTAGGCACCTGCAACATGGGGAAAGCAGGTGCCTACTCTGCTATTACACCAGCATGTACTCTCGGCTCGCTGGGCCGCAAAGACGGTCCTTGTGGGCCACGAGTTTGACATGCTTGCTGTAGGGGAATGATCTATAAACCAAAACTACTTCATTAAGCTAAAGTTGTTTTGGTGACTCTAGTGTCATTTAAAAAAAAGCACACTCCAACTGAAAAAAGTGTGTGTATGTACAAATGTATGTGTTGGCAAATTTCTAAAAGTTTGCATCCATTCAGGGCAGTCTATAACGTGGGGCAAAAGGGGCAGCTGCCCTGGGCCAAGTTGCTCCCAGGGAGCCCAAAGCAACTGCACTGATCCTAAAATTAAATTGTTGCGGGCCTGCACACTAAGGGGGCCCAGGGCACCACATTCAGGGAGAATTGATTCCTCACTGTGCCAAATCTGCTAATCGGCTGTTAAATAGACTCCCTGGTGGTCCAGTGTGCTGCTGGGTCTGCCGCACTCTCACACGGTCCGGAGCACTATGAGTGTCAGAGCAGCCTGGTTCCACCACCAAAATTAAAGCTAAAAACACCCCTGCATTCAAAAACAAACACTACACATAAATGTATACTTGCATTCAAATGCAAACACACCCCCTACATTCATACAAAAACATGCTTACATACAAACACTGCTCAGTGCTAAATACAACCTTGCAAGCATGGGGAAATGGTAGAGCCCCAGCTGTCAAAGCATTGTTGGAGTTGCATGACAGATGGGGATCTACCTTTTGGCCACCCTTGCAATGGCGGGACCCAAAACAAGTCTTCCACCAGGGCCCTCTCTACTTTAGTTCTGTCACTGCGTTGCAGTGGAGGACGTGATTGCATGCCAGGGTGTGGGGAGGCAGGGTCCAGGGGGCCCAAGCAGATGCTTGCCCAGTGTCCAACTATTAAAGATGGCCTTGCATCTATCCCACTGGTTTGGTTTATGCGTGCAACACTGTGATAATACTATGCAGACTGCTGCATCTAACAAAACCAATAGTAAATAAAAATTAGATTATTTTTCTATATTTATTTTTATTTTTTGAGACCCTGCAACCATGCAAATAAGTATTCCTGGCTGAACCCAGTACATTTTACAGTTTGGTATACGTAATAAACCTGGATTTAGTCATGAATGTGTAAATCCATGCCAAAATTTTAGATAAATAATAAACCTACCGTGAAAATAATTTTTTCTACGTCTCACTTCTCTGTAAGCAAAATTATTTATTTTTGAAAAATGATTCAATGCATTTTTTCTTTTTTTCCTATACAGGTTAAAAAATCAGATTCCTGAAATTAAGCAAACATTAGAAATTTTAAAACATATGCAAAAGAAGAAGGTATGTTTTTTTTTTTGTTTTGTTTTCTCCCTACTGCAAAGTTTAGTGAATTCAGAAATATGTTTGGGTGGTATTTAATCTGTATAGCTTCCTTTATTTAATATAAGGTTTCTTTTGTCACATGTGACATGTCAGTACATCTAATTTGAAGTGGGTATAGCTTCTGGAATCCCCTGGCACAGTCATTCTGTATATTGGTAAACTGTTTTTAAAGGAACACTATAGGCACCATAACAAATTAAGCAGCATGACACAAACACAAAAGTCTTTAATTCTTAGCCATTTAGCTCTGTCTATCTGCTTCTCACTTGATTCTTGAAACACGAAGCGTTTAATAGGGGCTTAACTGGTTGACTGAGAGTGTCCACTGTTTCTTCAAGCCAATTAGTACCTCTCCATACACAAAACTACTTGAGAAATGTACAGATTTTTCTCAAGCCGCTTCCATGAAAGGGGAGCTAGTGATTAATTTAGAGCCACAATGAATGCTCTCAGCCAATCAGCTGTGCCCCTGTCCAAAGATTTCTATTTCAAAAAGTGGAAGGACATGGGCAGAACTTAACTGTTGGTCTCAAGACTTGGGAATTAAACATTTTTTTATGAAAGGTTTAACCTCTAAGGCAAGGGTGCTCAAAAGGTGGATTACCCAGATTTTTTTTTTTTTTTTTTTAACTACAACTTCCATGATGTTTTATCATATGAAAAACATCAAGGTAGTTGTTGATCATGCCAGGGTGTAAGTAGCCATGGATTATCATGTGACATTGCCAGGGGTCTCCTGGCTGTGTAAAGGGACACTGTCTGTTTTTATTTGCAGTTCACTCTTTCTTTGAAGCATCTTGCCACTGAGCCCCTCTCCCCATATCTACTACTCTAGTGTTTCTGATGACCATGTTTTCTAGAATAATATGCAATTTGGTTAATAACTGCCATATTGGCTGTACCATTTTCCATGGACATTAGACATATCCTGCATGGTTTCAGCAATATCCAGCCATAAAAGTGATTGTGTTGTGACTCTGTTTAGGAGTGTTGCACTTTGGTTTCCTGTCAGTGGGTGCCTTTCTCTTCAGTGAGTGTTTCTATGAACATATTTTAATTTTTAAAGTGCAAACATGTATTTTATTTTATTATGATGCTTGTCATTTAAGATTTTCATTTTTTAAATTATTTTAATAAACTCTTCCCCTCTGTTATTTCTGTCAGGATACAACTGAACCAATGGAAACCAGGTATTTACTGTCAGATAATGTATATTGCAAAGCATCCGTACTGCCCACCGATAAAGTCTGCTTGTGGCTGGGGGTGAGTATGTTATATTAGCATTATATCGCACCAACATTCTGCAATGTTTTATGGTAACACAATTGTAATGCCAAAATTGGGGGTACTTGTGGCTGCCATGGCAACAAGTACCACCATACCCAGAAAAAAAAGAATTGTGGTAATATTTGGTTTTTCTTTTCACACCATAGTGACATAGCGGTTGGTAATAAAGTTGCTGTAGAATTACTCACATTTTGCATTCATATTACTTGTTTGACTTTTTGCATTATGTAGGCGAATGTGATGTTGGAATATGATATTGATGACGCTCAGGCTCTGTTAGAAAAGAATCTCTCTACCGCAAGAAAGAATCTTGAATCTACAGAAGAGGACCTTGATTTCCTACGGGACCAATTTACCACCACAGAAGTCAGTATCCTTTTGGATATTAAATAAGCTTTTTAAAATTTTAGAAATGCAGTTGAGTTACATCAATTACACACTCTGTCTAGACTATTAGTAAAACTCTGTCACAAAATTTGGAAGCCTCATAGAAAAGCATTATTTCAGTGGTTTCTTATGGGGACTTTGAATGCAGACATGGAGCTCACATCACATGTGTCGCATTGGATTGGATAATTGGCAGATGAGGCTCTGCCTACTCAGTGATGTTGCGTGAAGCGGAGAGGTAAGCTGTGACAAGGGAGCTTTGTGCTGGAAAAAGGTAAGTAAGACTTTGTGTGTTTTTTTTTTTTTTTTTTTTTTCATTCTACTTTCAAGGAATTATTGATCTACACAATTATTTTGTTGGTCTCTCTCGTTATGCTTTGTGCAACTTTTTTAAAAGCAACATTGCTACTGTACTTTCCTCCGAACCACTCTGCATGCGGAGACCAAGGAGAAAACCATCATGTAAGACCAGAGTTTGTACCAATGATTCCCCCTCAAATGGGTCCTGCTGGTGAACCAGCCCATGTCTTTGAATTCAATCAGGCATGCTGTGTTTTTAAAGCTAGTATGGAAGTAACCAGAGCTTACCCAGTATTGGCTCTTCAAAACAATCTAATATTTTTTTTAATACTTCCTGCTTTCATTGCATGTCAGGTTACCTGTGTTCTATGATTTGTTGGATTCTGGGTGTCCACAAGCTGCCCACCAGTTGGTTTTTAAGTGACCCTCTATGGAAACTATGGAATATTCGTGATTTGATTGATTGTCCTTGACCAATTTTCCAGATATGGCTAGAGTCTATAATTGGGATGTAAAAAGAAGAAACAAGGATGATCCTTCTAAAAGCAAAGCATAGATCATATTTTAAATGAAACAAGTTTCCATGCCCACATTGTTTTAAAAAAGAAAAACCAAACACTCAACTATTTGGAATCGATGCATTCTCTCTTCATTTTCTAAAGTGAACTACTGTTCAAAAACCAGGCACCATTTTATTTATTTGATCAATCCAACTTCATTTGTCTTTATTTTATATAAATATCATGGAATGAAGAGGAAAAGGCACATAGTATAGAAATTGCTCCATCTCACAATTTAGAAAACTGCAGAGAAACACTGATAAAATTGTGTAACTTCAATTGTTAATGCTTTCCATAGTCTTACAAGTTTATTATATTTGTTTATGGTAACCTACAGAAAATAATTTGGATGTTAACACTGAGTCTCATGCGTTGATTACAATCCCCATACAATAGAGCTGATGCTTTTGTATACGTTGGCTTTTTTCTGTAGATATATTTTTCCACAAGATAAAGTCCATGTGTGCTCCACAATCAGCCTTTCTAGCACCTACGTTCTACAAACATTTTATGCTACCTGTGTATGAATCTTAACATCCCCAATTTACTTTAAATGCAATATATAATTTGATTATGTAATGGTATTAGAACACACTTTATTTTTAATTTTTTTATTTCCCCTTTTGTCCTCCGTCACTACTCATCGGAACACAGCCTTATTATTTTTGTACATTATCACGTTTTGTTTCATAAAGGTGCCATTCTGTATCTTTGCCTGTACTATTCTCTGAATAAAGTTCTGTGCCACTGAGCTTGCAATTCTATTCTGTCCAGTCTGCAATGTGTGTTTTTAAGTGGATATAGCTTGATCTTGATCTGTATTAAACGGTAATTGGAAAGGGTATGTACCTAGAGTGTGTTAGAGAGGATCACCGAATGCTAAATCGAATTGGCACATTTTGTAAAGGTGGCTTATAAACTCTGTTTTTATCAAAACAATTTCCAAGTTCCCCCCACCCTGATGATTTGTGTTTATGTTGAAATAATATAGGTTAAGATACATTTCAATAGTCTATTTTCTTATCACACACTATATTAAGTAAGGTGTACACTGTAAGGTGTATTGGATCAGTAACGTGCCTGTCTTGCTTCTTGAATTTCATGTGGTGGAAGCAGGGAAAAATGGGCAAGCAAAATGATCTGCTTGACTTTGATAAGGTCCAAATAGTGATGGTTAGATGACTTGGTCAGAGAATCAAAACGATAAGTGTTATGGGGTGTTCCCTGTATGCATTGGTAAGTACCTTCCAAAAGTGGTGCGTGCAAGGAATAGTAGTGAACAGGCATCAGTCTCATTGATGCATATGGGAAGTGAAGCCTGTCTGCTCTGATCATACACAAAAGCTACTGTAGCTCAAATTGTTGAAAACTTAATGCTGACCATAATAGAAAGTTGTTAAAACTCACAGTTGGACTGATCAGCGTGACCATGATGACACCTGTCCATTGCCAAAAGCATTTAATGGGGACGTGAGCATTAGAACTGGACAATGGACCAATGGAAGAAGGTTGCCTGGTCTGACGAATAAAGTTTTCTTTTTAGATCAGATGGATTGCTGATGTGTATGTGTCGTTTACCTGGGTAAGAGATGGTGGCAGGGGAAGAAGGTAGTCTGGCAGAGGCAGTGTTATGGTCTGGGCAATGTTCTGCTGGGAAACCTTGGTTACTGCCCTTCATGTAAATGTTACATTGACATGTGCCACCTATCTAGAAATGTTTTTGCAGACCACGCACATCCCTTCATTGCAATGGTGTTCCCTGGTGGCAGTGGCCTCTTTCAGCTGGGAAGATCCCTTAGTAGGTTGAAACTTGTTATGCCATTTTTTGCTTTACATATGTTAATAAAAACCTTTTTAAAACTCATACTGGTTCCTGACTATCTTGAGAGGATTACTACCGCTTTTGGGGGACCTGATATATATATCTCTTCTATAGTTACAGTTGTTTTTTTTGTTTGTTTCATATTGGGTTCAATTTACCATCAGTTATTGTGAGGTATTTCTGTCGAATGTGTCACCTTTATTTTTCTTTAAAGACGTATGTATTAAGTGTTCCTTGTGAAATTTAAGCTGCACTGAGTTATATTGGTAGTGCCGCCTATACTTAAAATCTTTTTTGTACTAAATGTTAAAATCAGGACATGTCTCCAATTTGACCATAACTTTGTCAAACGCTAGTAAATGTATATGTGGGTTATTGCTGTACTTTGTGTAAATCTCCTATCTTTTGAAGTAGCAGGACCAGGGCCTCTGCTATGGTCACAGAAATCAGGGTACATAAATTTTTTTGGGTGTGGTTATCCGACTATCTCCTCCCATTTGGTAATAGCCATTCCAGACATGCATGATATATGGCAATAACTCCACCTCTTAATCCATAAATCACAGCCCCTTTTGTAATCAGACACACACTGACCGTCACATTTTCACTGATTTGAAACACACTGACCAACACACACATTTACACATTCTTGTGCATACATGCCAACAAATGTAATTTTATTTTTTTTAGACCCATCCAGCCTCCATACCTCTGGGAGAGCTGGTGTGGCTCCTGTAATCTTCCAGTTCCTCCCGGCTCACTTTTTAGTGACCTCATATTCCAACTCCTGGTGTACCGAGGCGTGGGGGGGGAGCAGTGAGCAACTGGAAGAGGCTGCCTGCCTCCTCCATGTATTTTTCAGCAGAGAAGGTATTTGGTAAATTAGGGACACTATAAGGTGGATAACTGGCCACCTATTGGGCCCCCTGTCAGGCCATTGTTCTGCTCCTCTCAGCACCCCTGCTTCTGGCTACCACATGGGCCTCATGTCACAGGCCATTGTTCTTCTACTCCTGGCACCATCCTTTCTGGCGCCTGGGTGGAGGGTTAGAAACACTGTAGAATGCGGCAAAGATTGGATGAACAAAAGGAGTAAGAGTTGAGATCCCCTTTTAATAGTTACAGAGCAGTTGCTATGTCATACATGTATTATTTTTTAAAAGGAGACTACTGACCTTATAATTACTATCGTCCATCTGCGTACTGAAAATGTGATTGCTTTTATTTTTCATTATATCAAGAGTTAACAGCACATAGATACTGTGTTCTGTAGCACATCTCACTGTATAGTAAATAATGCAAACTATTTTGATTAGACTGTATCCAAGAATACACCTGATAATTTTGTCTCAATACACTCCAATGAATGCCATTCATTTCAGCTTACCTCTTCACTTCTCATCACACCGTACTCCTCTTCTCCTTTGCCAGAACCCCATTTTATCTCTCCCATTTCACATCAGTTGCTCAGCCCCTATAAAGAAATTCTAGGGTGTTGGTGCATTTGTCTACCTCTTTTTCCTAAAAATGTTTTTATTAAGTGTTTTTGAGTATTACTTTTTTTTTTTTGCTTTAAAGAAAGAAATGTATTGGATGGGAATGTAGATGGAAATTGGTAATGATCTATTTGTATTATGAAGGTTCTTTCTAACAAATTAGTCAAGGTTAAAATGTTTATAGTCCAAAGGAAAGTTACAAGTGTAATGCTGTGGAGCCATTATTGTAGTGGTTCACAAACTGCATAGAAAAATAATTTTATATTATGTCCAATCCTGGTCTGGGGTTTCAATGCATTTCTCTATTTAGGAGATGGGGTGTAAAGCTTGAAGACCTTTTGGGGATTTTAGTTGACAGCAAGGTAGTTCTCAAAAAGGCTTAAAGCATTTGACTACTAGCTGTATGTTGTATCAACAATTTCTTATCTTTATAATGCATTAGCACAAGAGCAGATTCTCCCCTCCACCCCTTAAAATTAACTACGAGTATCAATTATCACATAAGTGTGCTGTATGTTATGGTACCAGTAGTGCCTTGCTAAGGCCCTGCGCAAGCTAATTAATTTAACCAATTATATTGGGGTGGATACCAGGGCACTCCTGGCACCATAACCACTACAGGTCACTATAGTAGTCTTGGTGCTTGTAGAGTTCCTTTAACCCCTTAAGGACACATGACATATGTGACATATCATGATTCCCTTTTATTCCAGAAGTTTGGTCCTTAAGGGGTTAAGCTTTAAAGTGGCAAATGTAATTAATATAACTCCCATAAGGTTAAGGAAGGCAAAAAGCACGTGTTATCTGAATGTAGCTCCCAGCTAGAACGCCCAGTCTTAGAGATGCATTTATTTAATTGTTACAAACAAGACACTAATCAAGTGAAGTCAATTCTGAATTTGCTTCAAACCTTTAATGTCAAAATTATGACAACCATATTGTGATTTATGTTTTTGTTGGCATTAAACATAACAGACCATATGAAAAAAAAAAAAATAAATAACTTTTGAATTGCATCAGAAATAGACTGGGTGGATGTCTAAAAAAACAAACAAAACAAAACAAAAAAACCACCCGTAGGTTGTACAAATGAAACTCAAGGTTATATATTTAAACCTTCATGTGAAGGAAACACCTATGGGTTTCAGTGGCCTAGTACTTTATTAATGAAAATCAAATTGTCCATTAAAAACTACTCTGGTCACATACTATTAACCTGCTTCAATAACCTCTATTGGTTTGGTCGATTGCAGGACTTACAGGGTTACTTTATATAGTACTAGAGTAAGAAAAAAAACACAGAGACATCTTACACGTTTTTCATTTCACATATTAACAGTTTGATCTAGGTACAAGCATGTTTTCATTCACATACAGCTAGATAGCATATGGTCACATTTACAGTGCAAAACAGAAAGCAAGGAAGTGTACATTTTTATATTCTGGAGATTGAGAAAAGCAAACCCAACATGCAGAATTTAAGATTTATTTGGATTATCCTTTCTGCAATAACTGTTATATAAAATTTAACACCCTTGTTAGCCTTTTTAAAAAAAAATAAAAAAAAAATTAGTTGGTTTTCTGTTTTGTTACTTTTGCGGAAGAAAAAAGTCCAAATTTATTTTAAAATTGCATTGGCTTTCATTTTAGTATAGGTGTATTAGGGCATATGTTCACT